AGGGAGAGGAAGGGCATCCGTGTGAGTCAATTACTGTGCTTGGTACTTAGCCCTTGGGTGGGAAACTAATCCGGAGAGAGCATGTGAGCAATTTGTGCCCAAGCGTTTCTCCCCCTTGCTAGGCTTAGTCCTAGCCTACATACCATCGGCCTTATTTCTAATGTCACCCCCCCCCCACAAGCATATGAACGCTCAAATGAATTCATCATTTGATCCGTGATGGAGATCCTTATATTCGACGTTTGCCTACGGTTTACCGTCTGCTGGAAAGCAGGATCTCCTTTGGAGCGTGGATGTGTACTAGAGAGGGTCATGTGTCGCGAGGATTCTGGCCCATACGACACCTAGCCTGTTGCTCCATGATGTTTACAAGTGGGGGGGGGAAGGGTCGCAAGCTCAGGACTCGCGGCGAAATCGTCAATGATTGGTAGGGGCGGAAGAGGCGCACAAAACGTACTGAAAGTCACTCTTTTCAAGTTCAGTTGTATTTCGCCAAATCGACGCGGCGAAACGCGAGTTGCCTGTGGTCGTGAGAAGCACGATGGGTATGTTAAGCTCATGCTGTCTAAATGAAACTAGAACACATCGCATCTCCTTTCATCAACTCACGGCAGAAATCAGATTGGTTGGATTTTGTAATAGAATTATATTATACCTCCACATGCCTCGCAACCTTGAACCGCAAACGCGTGCATGGAATACTGGAGCTACGACCAATGGTGTATCTAACGATGGGAACAGCTCACCAACTGTTTCATTAAGGTACAGGGAGGGTCAGAAATACGAGCACAGCGTGTGCCTGCGATCATATCACTTTTTCCTGGGCATCTCATTTTCCATCTTCTTCTGTGCCAATATTTGACCAAGTTCGATGCCTTCTTTCTGTTGAGACCTAATATCATGCCAATTCGAAACTAGTAGAACAACCATATGAAGATTCGCCTACCTTCGGATTGGATTCACTGGAATGCTATATTTAGCGGCAGTCTAACGTAAAAAATAAGCTCGCATGAACGGTGCAACAAATTAGAAACTTTCCCAGATCGGGAACGCGAAGGCTAGATTCCCTATCAGGCCAGTTATCAAATGGAAAGACTGGCTCTCCTCTCACCGACTTTCAAACTCCCAAAATGAAAAACATTAATGTGAAACTAAGATGGACACTCTTTAGACTCATCGCAATGAGCCGCCATAACTTGGCCTTTCCAGCGGGTCAAAACATCTGGACATAAAGGAAATGAATTCCCCACCTATATGTAAACCTGGGAGCAAACATAAAGGAATCCTTCGCGGAAAATTCTTGCATTCTTTCTTGACATGAATGTGTCAGTTGTGATCACTGGAAACAGCACACAAAGTTTCACGCATGAAGATTCGGTTTCCGAAGAGAAACAAACGTACAAAAACTACACGTTATGGACATCGAAGGGTAATTCGGGCGGAGCCAAACGAGGCATGGAAAGAAGTTGGCCTTTGGCCGGCTACGTATCAGGCGACGCAATGAAGAATCGGGTTAAAGCGCGCGATTTCGGAGAATAGAGACAAATCGATCGATAGAATAGGATGGAGTAGAAGTGTAAGATGTGAATGCAATAAAGCAGAAGGCCAGAAAGAGTTTCTAGTGAAGGCACTCCAAGAACCAAGTGGAAGCATCCCCGTCGCCAGCATTTGTGAAAGACGTCCGTGGGCACTTTGAACGCGTAGCAGCCTTTCGATTTTTCGAATTTTTTACCAAAACAAAAGCAATATTTCTGTTCTTTTCATTCTTATCGTGGATAATGAGTCTCAAGCCAGTGATTTATGGCTGAAATAGAATCATGATTTTTCCGCGCAAGGATTCCTTTAAATGAAAATCTCAAAGGACTTCGATCTCTGGATGAAGGCAAAGCAGGAATCCTGAAATCACTTTACCGCGCTTTCTTGCGTTCCACCGTAGACGTATACACCAACCCAGGAGGGAAACTGCAACGCACGTCGAAACATGCTAGGCGAATTCGCGCGTGGGATCAGTGCGTTATGTGTGCCAGCACCCTTTTTATCAAATCTGATGTCTATTTTTTGGCGTGTGGGTTACGGTATGGGAGCTCCGGATGGAAACATTGTAACCCTGTTAGTGATCACAGCCAATGTGAGGTGATTTTATGAACCACCCGTCGCTAAACTTGTACATAAACTTGTGAACTAGAGAACGATGTGGTCACCAAGAGCCTCAGTAGGTTAGATAGAAGGGCGCAAAAAAAATCGAGGATTACCACTCATTGGACCAGAGGTGGCTTTACCTCACAGGCCTTATGAAGGTTTGCGGTTCCTGCATCGAAATCGTGTGTCACTTCGAAAGAATGAAGTGCACGAATGATAGTGAACGGGCGCAAAAACTTCGAGCGATCTTCATAAAAGTACGATGGGATTCCTGCGTCCTGTAGTCGTTTTGCAAGAGACGGAACATCTGAAAGGAGAAAATTGATAAGTGTTTATCATATTCTGTCAAAGCAAGATAAGCAGGTCTGATTAATTTTTAAATGGGTTAGTAAAATGTACTCCGTGAATATGGCAGAACACAGTCCCGGTCGTATTTCTTTGCTCAGTAATCATTTGTCGTCATATTCGATGATGAAGGTAAAACACGGCAGCGTGTTGGTGAGGGCCCGTAGAACTAATATGGAAGGATAGTGAGTCGAGGTAGCTGAATGCTGATCTCGAGTTCCATGCCATAGCTGAAAGATTCTATGAACGAAGCTACAGAACTTGTTGTGATAATGAGCAGACTCAGTACGACTGTTACGCTTCCGAGATATGCACGTGGACCGGTGTCCCAGCGGATGCTGTGCCGGTCTCATGTATGCAAGGCCAGTGGTTTGTGTTATTGAAATGGCTTCATACACTATTTCGAAGTATGCTGTATATTCCAAACTACTTTTGCATGGTGAAAAAACTCAAATTTACCGGAAACTGCTATTTATGGAAAAAGTGGACCGTTTCAGAAAAGAGCTAAGTCATAAACTTGTTTCTGCGCTGAGTGGTATGAGAAAGCTTCACAGTTTGCATGAGAACCCGTATTCTCCCACTCGAGGGCAACCATTGCTTATCAGAATGCTCTGACAGATGACCTAAAAACTTGCTCTCATAACGCACGCAGTCGTTTTTGCGCAAGATTTGCGTTTAGAAGCTCTGGCTACGTCTGAAAGCACACTAAAATGAATTTGAAATTCCCACACTTATCTTGAAAAAGAGCTGTAGCGCTGTAACCTTGAGAAGTGGTCAAGTCACGAAAAGGTCTTGACGCCGAAGAAGGAAGTTGTTCCCGAAATGATAGGTTGTTATTACCTTTAGACACAAAGTTTCGAAGATTAGGTTCTAATTGGATTAGCTCCACTTTTTCATTGTATGGAACAAGTTTTTGATTTGGCTAGAGTCTAAAGGTCTTTGTTTAAAGGTGTTCTCTGACTTGGGGAAGGCGAGAGTCACACTCCATAGATGCAAAAACGCCTCGTTCCTGCATTGCGCACTGTGTCACGACATCAAAGTCAGAAAATTCAAGGAAAAAGTGATCAAAAATCAAAGTACTCCAACCGAAAAATGATTCACTGTCTAGCTTCTCTCTATATGCAAAGGCATAGAAAACTGTGTAAGCTAATCCGATCCACTGGTGTCGGTCTTCTTTAATCTTTTGAATACCGCAAAAACTGCGTGGAAAATCTTTATAATACTGGGCCCATCAGGGGTGTACACGTTACTCCAAATGGCTACACCGACCTATCATACCTCCCCTGTTTGCTTAGAAAGAATTAGAGTTCTGGAAAAAAGAAACTGCTCACGTTACCTGACGTTCTTCTTCATTCTAATAAAGGTTAGTCTCAAGCCCGAGCGCTCCTTTGATCCCTTGTTGAGGCGCTATGTAAGTGGCAGAGGGAAAGAAAACCTTGATTCTACTTGATTCATGGGACGATGCAAAAACATGCTTTGATCTTGATTATAACATTACTTTTTCCAGAGGTATTTCTCCTAACCTGAACGCAGTTTTCTCAAACGGTATTTACATAAAAAAATGTGTGCGTCTCGAATCCGCTGGGCTCTGCTCATAAAGGTGTTTCTATCCTAGCTCTTCGGCATCCGTTTTCTAAATTGCAAAAAATTCAGGGCGGGCCAACACTCACAGCACATTGTGCTTTGTATTTCATTACCAATGTCGTATCATGCTAGCCTGCACTGCAAAATGTCACTCTATAATTTTGTTTACCTTATTCCTATCCCTGTCGTTCCCATCCCTTTTTTGATGGCCACAGTCTCAAGTAGGAACGGTCGAGAACGCTTTTCAAAAGCACTAGTCGGGGTTGAATTGATGCGTTATTTTGTCCGAGCATTAGGTAAGGGGGTGGGGAGGTCATGACATTCTTCACGTTAAAGCCACGAGTCGGGATCAGGTCTTAGAGTAAGTCCCTACTAGAGTGAGAAAGGGGGCACATGACACTTCCGCCACTCAAAATTGCGAGGCAAAGACGCTAAGGCCTTACCTGTGTGCTGCCGTGCTGCCACCATAATCAACCACGGCATACGTGGTCTCTGCGTCCTCTCGCGTACGACGTACTATCTCGCGTTCTCCCTCTCCTCGCAGCGCTGTGTCTCTCCGTCGTACTACGGCCGGCCTCCTAAGGGAAATTTAGTGTTTTCTATGGGTGCTTTTTGCTTTTTCTCCTCACTAATGTTCCTCATTGCACCCCTTGCCTAATAAAGGATAAAGGATAAAGCATTTGCCGTTGATCAATCCCTTTTTGGGATGCGGCACGCATTCTACTTCCATTTGTACATTCGCAGTGGCATTTGAATGCGATGTGGCCTATACAATGACTTGCGGGGGCCAGCCGATGTTCAAGTCAGTGTTTTTATCCTCCCAGACAAGTCTGGTACCAATTAACCGACCCCGGAGGGATGGAAGGCTTGGTTGGCCCGGGCGACTCACGACCCAGGATTTGATCCCGGACCGCTCGCGTGGTAAGCGCGCCACTTGTCACTACACCACTTCCGCCCAACGGGATGACAGGTGATACAGGTGATATTGAAATTTCCCTGCAATCTTGATTCGAGTCAAACTTCACAAAAGTCCAGGCACAGATTATTGCGCACAAAAGTGAAAATAAGTGCTAACAACAAAGGTCTTTCAAAGGAGTTCTTTCTAAGAATGATTTCTTGAATGTTGTATAACATATACGGCACCACCTTAACTTTGGTACTGATGCTGGTGCAGAACCAGCGGGAAGTGGTGACTGCACGATTCACCACGTGATAAAACCTCTACGTGAGGCAGCCTTCTGAGTTCTTCCATTCTCAGAAGCTTGGAATCGAAAAAAACCTAAAAAAAGGCTCTCGCAAATTTACATGACATAGCATAGCATTTATTGTCAGAAATTTCGTTCTCACAGACGTGTACCACTACAATGCCAAACCACAGTATGTGATAGGGCAATGGTTCGCCGTTGTGTGACAACGAACAGTCGATTTAGCACGCTTTCAGCCATTTTTTTCAGATCTTCCCTCTGTATCGGTACCCATGGACCTACGGATATGGACCACAGCCACTGCTATAGAAAATGAGGTGGTGGACCATGAGCAAACGCATCAGCAGGTGACTGCTACGTTTTGCAACAGGCAAGAATGGACCCACGTCAGTCACAGGCTGCAGTTGCAAAAACATTTATCAGGATTGTAAGGCACGTAATCCCAGCCTGAACAGTGGCACAGTGACCGCATAGGGATGGACTTCCGCCCGACCAACAGTACCAGGTGTTCCTTTGAAACTCCTGCATCGGGGAATATTTGTCAGGTGCCGAGACACTGTGAATGGACCACAATTTTGGAGGGATGTTCTTTTCATTCAAGAGCAAATCCAGTGTGGAAGTTATTTTGGACTTAAAGGCAGCGATTACGATAGATCTCACAGGTCTGCGTTGAACCAAACCATGGATCATTATCCCACCCCTTTTTTAGCATTCAAGGGCCATTTAGCGAAAATGGACCACAGTTCTGTACTCCAGGCACATCCCTCTACATCACCCTCTATAAAAAAAACCGTTTTGAGAAAGCGCTTCACGCCCTGAACGACCTCCCCTTGTTAGCTCATCTGACGGAAAGTTCATCCAAGCGCGAATATGAGGACAGCTTTATTGCTCGGCCACAGAATGACTATGATACGTGGTATTTTGCTCATATTGAGTAGAAACATATGTGGTATTCGAGCGCAACATAGAGTAGCAGTAGTAGCATTTTTTGCTTTTGATCTCTAACTTCTGTTTTTTTGCTTTGCCAAAGTTTCACAATAATGGTGGGTTTGATAACAACTATTGCTCACGGGGCGAGAGGTGCGGGTTCGTGTATCGTAATTTTGTAACGGCCTTTTCCGTTTTCTAGACCTCATGGCTGGGATACACAACGGATCAACAAAAGATACAATACCGCCACTAACTTTTGAAATTTCTCCGCTGAGCGACGGATTTGCAGCGTCGCAAAGCGTCGCCCCTTCATAACTCCCCCCAAAGCGGGTCAAATGATTGGTGCTCTACACCATTGGACTCGTCTCTCTGTGGCGAGTCTAACCATGTGGAAAATCTTAACGTATAATGTGCATCGGCCGTTAAAAAATGTCGAAAGAAATAATACGCCCAGAATATAGCGGATTCGCGTCTTGTTGTCGTTTTCTCTTATAGTCGCCTGTCAGGTATTAACGTATTTCGATATCTTGGAAAGACGCAAGTTGATGTCAGCTTCTGTAGTGTCTACAGAAGCTATTTATGGCGTTTGATCCTCCCACTTCAACATCGCATGCCTCGCAGCTTTGGCTCGATGACATAATTGCTTTGAAGTGTGTGCCGCTATACCCGCCTTTACTGCATTCTATGGTCGTTTTTTTTTCAGAGAGATTGGTGTCGTCAGCATTTTGCCCGGGCCCCAGAACGCGCCGCGTATTCAACATCGTCCATTGTATTGTGAATGGATCGATTGCTTTTTTCCAGATTTCATGGTCCCTATTCCACAGCGGCGCGTTAAATGACTTAACACGTAGTCCCTGCGCTCAACATCTCCTCCTCTCGTGTTCAAATGGAAATCATAGATCAATTCTCGGCTGGACAGTTAGCCTATCTGGTGAAATTTTCCAATGTTTGAGCGAAGGTTTTTCCGAAATCTGAGGAGGTAGCGGGGAAATTTCTTCTTAGTTGTAGAGTACGCTTACTTGTGTGTAGGAATAAGATCACACACTTGCTTGCAGATGACCGCTCCCTGCGTGCTGTGGCCATGAACATGCCTCCTCGTCATGCCCTAGCCTATTTGGTGAAATTTTCCAATGTTTGAGCGAAGGTTTTTCCGAAAACTGAGGAGGTAGAGGGGAAATCTCTTTACTGTTGTAGAGTACGCTTACTTGTGTGTAGAAATAAGATGACATACTTGCTTGTAGACGAGCGCTTCCGCCGTGCTGTGGCTGTGAACATGCCTCCTCGTCATGCCCTTGTGGAAAGATCAGATTTTTTGCATTTCCAGATGAACTCGCAGACCTGAAATGTGCCCCGTTAGATTCCCCGTGAAAAATGCTATCGAATGATATGCATTACTTCCCCCAGTTGAAACTTTGGTTTTTCACCGTTTTCAGCCTTCCCCTATTGCCGATTGGGCATCATATCCCACGATTACTGCCCCAAAATCTCAAAGTTTCATTTTTCGTCGAAACTTTGCCTATTGGGGTAATTCGATGCCCTGATTACGAATATGACATTCATTCTCGTAGTGTGGCCCCAAACATCACACCTCGCCCCATTTTTTGCGACATGTTCCATGTTTAGAGCAGATGTTATGTAGAAAGCTGTGAAGGCAGCGACGAATTTCCTTTACTGTCGTAGACTACGGTCACTTGTCTGTAGGAATTACATGGAAACCTTGGTGGCAGGTGAGCCTTCCTTCCGTGGTGTGACCCCAAACATCACACCTCGTCATGCCCTTGCGATATGATCAGATTTTTTTGGTTCTCCAGATGAACATAGAAGACTGAGATGTGCACCATTCAATTCCCCATAAAAAATACTGTCGAACGGTATACAACTCACTTTCTGGAGAACATCTAGTTTACCTGCCACTAGATCCATTTTGTGACATTTCCCAATTTTCGAAGGGATGTTTTGAGGAAATTCGAGAAGGGAGGGACGAACTCTCTTCCCTATCGTAGAGTAAGTTTACTTGTATGTTGGAAAAAGATGATACACTCGGGCTTGAGCGAGTGTTTCTTCCCTGGTGTGGCCTCAAACATCGCTCTCCGTCATGCCCTGAAATAAAAACCAGATTTTTTGGTCTTCCAGGTGGCTCTACGGAGCTGTGGTGTACACCATTCGATTCTCCATGCAAAATGCTATCGAACGATATACATCTCAGTTCCCACTTGAAACTTTCGTTTTTCACCGTTTTCGGCCTTTTCCTTATCGCCGATCGCCTTCCTCAGCCCTGGCCACCCACGTGCTATTCACGTGCGCGGTGCGTGGTGACTTTCCCACGCACTTTCGACACGCATAGCGGTGTATCGATCGGGCTGCCCGCCAGCTACCGAGAAAGGCCATCGGCTGTCACGTGAGCTCTCACGCACCGCGCACGTGAATAGCACGTGGGTGGCCAGGGCTGAGGAAGGCGATCGGCGATAAGGAAAAGGCCGAAAACGGTGAAAAACGAAAGTTTCAAGTGGGAACTGAGATGTGTATCGTTCGATAGCATTTTGCATGGAGAATCGAATGGTGTACAGCACAGCTCCGCAGAGCCACCTGGAAGACCAAAAAATCTGGTTTTTATTACAGGGCGTGACGGAGAGCGATGTTTGAGGCCACACCAGGGAAGAAACACTCGCTCAAGCCCGAGCGTATCATCTTTTTCGAACATACAAGTAAACTTACTCTACGATAGGGAAAAGAGTTCGTCCCTCCCTTCTCGAATTTCCTGAAAACATCCCTTCGAAAATTGGGAAATGTCACAAAATGGATCTAGTGGCAGGTAAACTAGATGTTCTCCAGAAAGTGAGTTGTATATGGTTCGACAGT